TGCTCCGCAGCGGAAAAGGCCACAACAGTGAGAGGCCCACGTACCGCAAAAAAAAAAAAAAATTTCTTCATTTTGATAGTCATAGTAATTTTAGCTACAATTATTTGAGATCCATACCAATAAAAGATAACTAAAGTTGCTACAAACATGTGGAAGCATATTTTTACATGAATTGTTTTAAAGTTAAAATTTCCAGAAGTAGATAATTTTTTAGTATGATATTAAGAGAACTTCTGGATGAATAAACTGAAGTAAAACAGGATCAAAGAATCTCCTTCCCCAGTATCTAATGAAGTGAATGATATAGTAAAAGAAATACACCTAAAAGCCACCAAAGAAAGGGTCATGTCTTGTGCATGTCATAAATTTAGGAGAGAAGACATAAAATGAAAACAGTATTCTCCTACAGCTGTTTTTTTTTTAATTAAAAATTTCTGACTAAATAATGTTAGTATAATTAGTGTAATTCCATATTTTGAGGGGTGGGGAGAAATAATGGATTATATAATGATGATTTATGAAATGTACCTCTCCAAAACTCTCCAAACTCTTAGAAGCATTCTTGAAGAAACATGAAGTTTTTAATTCTCTCACTAATGCCCTAATATGGAGAGAAATGTACTGAGCATATAAGTAGTTACATAAGGGAAAACTGTAGGAAAATCCATTGACAGGTGTAGTTTCAAACAACACCGAAGATCCTCAGCATTTGGGTCTGCCATTTTCTAGGGTTCTGCACTGAATAGAAGCAAGGGAGGGATAAGAAATACATCACAGATAGAGGAGTAAACTGCACACCTGAAAGAGAAGCGTGGGCTATGATGTAGGATATTTAATGGGATTTCAGAAGAGGAATCATCAATCAAAGGCTATACTTAATCCTTCAAGTTCTCTCCTATCCCTATCCTCTCATCCTGAGACTATGGAAAAGTAGATAGATAGCAACACCCAGTCCTCAAACAATGCCACCCAAAGAGAAGACTAAATGAACAAAAAAACACAAAAACTTTGTGGAAGGGTGACTAGAGAAGTTTCACCAACAATCTTTCAGATTAAATAGAAGGTCTGGGTAGACCTTCTATTTAATACATAGTGTGAGAATAATGGCATGACAACTATATAATCATTCTTTTGAGAAAAAGGAGGAGAAGGGAAGAAAAGAAGCAAATATTGAATGAAAAAGGTAGGTAAGGTAGATAAAATATCCAGTTCGGAAGAAAAAGTAGGAAATAAAACAAATCTCCAGAGTGAGTCATATGTAGAGGATAACTGGTAAAGCATAATTACATTTTTCAAAAGGAGCTCCAAAAATAGATGACAAAATAGAAAAATGTGAAAATAGAAATTTATAAAACTAAACATAAAAAAACAAAAACGAATCAGAATATTGAATCCAGTTAAAACTAGAACTCCAATTATACAACTGGAGGGAATTATGGTTGCAAAACAATATTAAGGTTATAACTCATGAAAAAATTAATACTACAAGCAACAATAATTAGAAGCAGGGAGGCAGGAGCAAATGTAGTAACAGTAACATCAAATTAACTGTTATGTTAACATTAATTTTGTGTACTTACTATGTGCAAAACACAATCCTATTCATTTTCTCAATGAATTATCTCATTTAATACAAAATAGAACCTTATAATCATAGTGTCTTAATGCCATCTTATAGGTGAAAATTAAGGAATGGCTATACTAAGTAATTTACCTGTATAAGTGAAGAAACAGATTCAAATCCAGCCATCCTGATATCAGATCTTCCCTTATTATCCACTGTTGAGCATGATAATGATCTCACTTTGAATTATTATTGATGGTGTAATTTAATATATTTTTGACTTTACTCGTTACTTTTTACATTACTTACCTTGAAAAAAAAGAATATGTAGATATTCTTAGGAAAACAATGAAGTCATTACACTAAAAAAAAAAAAAAGCCTATGTCATTAATATAAAGGTAGGAGATGATTGGGGCTAAATGATCTCTCAGCTCAATCCTTAGGTCAATAGTGACACTCTAAGAACCAGAAAGCCTTACTTGAATTATGTCAGGGCAGGCAGTACAAAGCTGCTAATGTGGAAATAAAATGCCTGCCAGTGTTACTGACAACCAATTCACGTCAGAGCTGGTGTGTGTGTGTATGTATATATATATATATATATTACACACATATATATACATATATATACGTATGATACATACATATATGATACACAAAATGTTGTATCCCCTTTGACCTGAAAATGCTACTAATTCAAGTGAGAAATGATAGAAGCCTAATCTAAAGTAGGGACGGGGAGGTGGTAAGGAAGAGGAAACCAAGAAAGGTTTATTCCAGAGAGAAAAGCCATAAAACCGGGTAACCAATTGTATTGGGAATTATAAATAAGTAGGAATGTGATTCCATAGGATCCAGCCTGGGCAACTAGATGGTGTATATTTCTATAAAAATCAAGGATTCCAGTCTAAATATGCTTAGAATATTCCATATTTTGGGAGGGGGGGGAAGAAATGGTGGATTATGCAATGATGATTGGTGGAATGTGCTTTTCAAAACTAAGCTGATATGGTACATGGTCCATTTTCTAACTGATTCAGTCAGTATTTTCCATAAAACCTGAAGAACTCCATCAACTAAATCAAAGAGATTTATCTGGCAATATTTGCTTGAATTTAGTTAACTGTAATTGTATTTTTATTTTGAATGAGCAGATAGTTCTGTTTCATTGCAGTAGTGCATGAAATTCTGAATACATATGTTCCCAAATTAAATTTTCCATTTTGAATAGAAATTTAGAAATAATGAAGAGCTCTGCAATATATAATTTAATTATATTTCAGTTCAACTGTCTTATCAATTTTTTAACAACTAGAATGACCAGAAAAAAGGAAAATGCTGAAAAAATGAAATCATAGCTTCAAGGACATGTTAGCAGGACTTTTGTTAAGAAAAACAAGTGAGAGTGTTCTTCTATTAACATCAAAGGAAATACAATTTATATATAATAGCTTATAATAGAAAACTGTAGGGA